TAAATGATTAGAATTGATTAGAAATTTATTATCTTTCCCACAGAGGAGCTTTTCAAAGATAATTACAAAAGAAATGCAATAATTTACATAAATATAAAAATATATACATATATATATATATATATATATATACAGGAATATAAGTACCTAATTACTATTTTATAGACATACACATTACTATAATGAGTTTAAAGGTTTAAAAGTTTAAATAGCTAAGAAGTCGCTGAGAAGTTTGTTTCGAAGGCTTCTCTTAAAACTTACAACATTTGGACAAAGTTTAAACTTAGACTCCAGAGAGTTCCACAAGCTTACAATTCTGTCATAAAAAGTCCTTTGGCCAGTGGCACTTTTAAATAGTGGAATGTTCAATTTCTGTGAACTTCTCGTGGATCGCTGGCTAATGTCTCCACGCTTTACAAATTGTTCGGATAAATAATCTGGAGCACAACCAGTCATGCATTTAAATGCCAAAATGGCGTTTCTCAAATACAACTCGCTAGCTACTGGCAGCCATTTCAATTCCTTTAGTGCTGGTGTGACATGGTCAAATTTCCTTATACCACAAACTATTCTGCAAGCGAAATTCTGAATTAACTGCAGTTTCTCAATGTTGCACTTTGAGGTGTTACTCCATACATTGGAACAATAATAAAGTCTGCTGAAAACCAAACTGTTCATGATAGTAATCAGAGTACGTTTGTCGAAGGCATGCTTCACACGATTAATTTGACCCAGTATGGACATACACGTGGAGACGGTCTTATTAATATGGTGGTTGTAGGTTAAATTAACATCCAGAGTCACGCCAAGGTCCTTTGCCATTTCGATAGGGTTTATTTCTTTTCCCAATAGTGTCAGGGAAAAGTCCTGTAGTCTAGATAGCATTTGTCTGCTCCCAAACACCAATAACTTGGTCTTTTCAGGGTTCAGAAGCAGGCAATTGCTAAAACACCAATTTCGGACTTTAGTCAAATCCTCGTTAATATTCTCTATAGCAAAAGATTTACTCTGAGCTTTAAAGGAGTGCAGTAGACCTGTGTCGTCTACGTAGCAATGTGGATCACAGTTTTGAGGTGCAGTTGAGAGGTCGTTGACATAGATGTTAAAAAGTAAAGGCCCAAGGATACTTCCCTGCGGCACGCCGTTCGTCAAAGGCAAGGCATCCGATACTGTACTGTTTATTCGTACAACCTGCTGTCTGTTGGAGAGATAACTACTGAACCATTGTAAACACGATTGTGAACCACCCATATCTTGTAACTTTGACATCAAAAGATTATGATTAACACAGTCAAATGCTTTGCTCATATCCAATAAGACCAGAGATGTAACTTTCTTTTGGTCTATAGCATTTAGTATGGAGTCTGTGATATTAATTAACAAAGTTTCGGTCGAGAATCCACGTTTGTTACCACTTTGCTTACTTGAAAGCCGCTTTTTCAACGTAAGATATTCTACAAATTGATTATAGGCAACCCTTTCGCAAACCTTTGATAAAACAGGTAATAATGATATTGGTCTGTTATTATTCGCCACTTCCGGGTGATCCTTTCCCTTTGGAATTGGTGTAACTTCGGCAATTTTCCAAACTATAGGATAGGCTGACGTAGTTAGTGAAGTGTTAATAATTGATGTTATTACTGGTAAAATGGGCACAATGCAATCCTTAATCACTCGAATGGGAATTTTGTCACTGCCCGGTGCTTTGTTGTTAGGCATTGAAGATATTATACTTCCTACTATGGCTGGCTCGACCTCTTTAAATGAAAATTGTTCCGTTAAAGGGTATTGTCTTGGTGTAAAACGGTCGCGGTCGCAATCAAACCCAAATTCGTTTGCCAAATCATTGATTTTATGAACCGCATTATTGCCGACAGAAGCAAAGAAATTGTTAAACTCTTCTGCTACGGTTTTTTCATCTTGACTGAAAATTCTTTGCGAAGACGATTTTTTAGGAATGCATAAGCGGATAGATTTCCAGATATTATTAGAATTACCTGGATCTTTCTCTATCTGGTTTAATACAAATTCACGCTCGGCTAGTTTAATTTCACGCTTAACTTCTCCACGAAAATTTCTGTACGCAGACCACGCCAAGGGATCATTTGACCTTTGGGCAAGTTTGCACCAGTGATCTCTTGTTTTCATCAATGCACGAATGTTTTCATTAACGCAAGGATTTGGTTTCCCTTTTACCTTGATGGATTTTATTGGAGCATGTTGATTTAATATATCATTAAACATAGTGTTGAAGGCATTTACTTTATCATCAATGTCAGTAAATACATCTATAACAGACCACGGAGCTTGCGATATATCATTATAGAAAGCTTCTCGATTGTAATGTTTAAAGCTTCTAATGTTTACATAAACCGGTTTTGTACGAGGCTTTTTTAATCGAAGTGTTAAATAAACCAAGTCGTGGTCACTGACCGAGCTGTGCTTGACAAAGGATTCTCTTACTTGTTTAATATCAGATACAAGGATAATATCCAAAAGCGAACTAGTTTGTTCAGTAACTCGCGTAGGTTCCCTAATCAACTGTGTTAGATTGTATGATGAACAAAAATTTCCAAGGACTTTGCAGTCAGAAGCTTCGGGTTTCAGAAGATTACAATTTAAGTCACCCAGTATGTAAATAGGTGCGCATAAAGATGAAGCATAAACAAAATTTGCTGCAAGATCTGAGTCGAAACATGATGTCGGTGTATTAGGAGGTTGATAGACAGTACTTATTATGATGGATTTTAAGTGCCTGACCTGTACCTTCAACCAAAGTTGATGAAAACCTGACGCAGAAATCGACGAGATGTCTCTTAGGCAAATTGTTTTGTAGATTTGACGTACATAAATACACACACCGCCGCCGGTTTTATTTTCTCGATCAACACGATAAATATTATAGCCAGGTATTTCAATTTCTATTTCAATTTAGAAATTATTGCAGGCAACGCTTTGGGACGATATATTTTGTAGTTTTTCTATTTATTAGACATGAATGAACTTCCTTTTCAATGTTTAGATCGTAATTATGGTTACCATTTGCTTATTTGGGCTTTTAAGCACGGTTCACCATAATATTGATCAATATTTGATGTCTTTCTAATAGCTTTTGAAACAATTAAGCGGTTAACCGTAGCTGACCGTCACGGTTAACCATTCCGCGTGACGTGAAACCAGAGGTAGATATTCGCCCCAAAGCATGATACGAGGTTATTTAATGCGAACTATACAGTTAGCAAGAGCAGAAGATGCACAATTAATTTGTCTAATGTATTTTTTCACTAAGCCTTCTCCTTAACTCTAAGTTTATGTACTGCACATGCATGTTGGTTGCATCAAAAGCACTTGCAAATCTATCTGGTTAAATTAACATATAGTGTTGATCAGCGGTTTTTTGTTTATAAAGCACATATAGTCGAAAAAATATTTTTGGTCTCGTTTTGAAGCTTAAAAATTGCGGCTGAAAGGAATATACATTGTAAACCGTAAAACCCTTGGCAGCTGATTGCATTTTAACGAGGGAAACTGCAATTTATTGGAGACAATTGTGGACAAAAGTGTTAATAAAATCGATCGACATTTTAGGAAAATACAATCAAATAATGTGATAAACTGTGAGACATGAACAGAGTTTCAATAACATTTGTTGCGTTTACTTTGAGCCTGATTGCGGGCTGTTGAACCTGTTCGCAGGCTAAACACGTGCGATTTGCTTTTACATACGGGAATTTTAGTATAAAAACAACAAGTTTCATATTCTTTTGATCGAACGTGTATTATCTATATTATATTCGATTATTCGAGGATATTTCGTTACGAACTCAACGTTAGTTATGTTTAAGTCTTTTACCTTATTATTTGATAGTAAAGTGATATAATTTTAATGTTATCCGTGTGTTAATTGAACGAACGTTAAGTATTGAGCGAGGAAATGCGATAAATATTATGCGACGTGCATAACATGGCGCCCAATGTGGGGCAGACTTTTTCGAAATAAAGTCGCCCAATCGAACCCGAAATTACAAAATGGCCGACGAAGTGAAGGAAAAATTGAATAGGCTACGTGCCAGACAACGAGGTCATCGCGGTGTGTGTACAAAACTCGAAAAGGAAGCGACTGAATTATTACAAATACCCGAAGGCGAAGGAGATCACATCGAACGAAGTGAAGTTATTGCTGTACAACTCCAAGAAAAACTGAAATTATTAAGCGAAATCGACGAAGAAATATTGGACATTTGCGACATGAGTGATATACAAAACGAAATCGAAGAATCAGCCGAAATTTCTGATAGAATTTCGAATACGAAGCGAAGAATAGACAAACACACGAAATCTGCCAAGTCTGCAAAAGTTCAGGGTCATATTAATAATACGAATGTTATAGTTACGAATTCGAACCTGACTCCCAGCACGAGTATGGAACAGGAAAGTATCGAAAATACAACTGAAAGTACAACTGATAATTTACCGGCTACGATCGAAGAAAACGAGGAAAATACGAGTTTAAATTTAGGGAACAGTTCGCCTTTATTACAGCAATCAACAACTACGACAATGTCAACAACACCAATGGGACATATTGTACCAAGTTTGCCCAAGCTTCCGAAGTTGGAACTCCTAAATATGGAGGTAAAGTAACTGAGTGGAATTCCTTTTGGGACTTATACGATTCAGCTATTCATAGTAACCCAACTATTTCGAAAGTTAATAAGTTTAATTATTTACAATCATTACTCGAGGGGCAGGCAGCGTGTGCAATAAAAGGTCTCACATTGACCAGTGCAAATTATGACGCTGCGATTACAATTTTGCAAGAACGATTTGGGAAAACTCAGCAGACAATAGCTGCCCACATGGATGAAATTTTGAAGATCCAAGTTTGCCTGAACGGTCGAACAAGTCAACTGAGATATGTTTACGACAAAATAAGTGTCCATGTGCGGGGTTTGGCGTCTCTTGGGGTATCTTCTGAACAATACGGTAGCATGCTAATCCCAATTATTATGTCTAAATTGCCAACCGAAATCCGCCTTGAAATTGCTAGAAAATCTACGGGAGACGTTTGGAAAATTGAGGAACTGCTAGACACAATAAAAACTGAGATCGAAGCGCGGGAAGTGAGCGAGGGAGTGCAGTCAAGTCAACAACCGAGTAAAAAATCTGTCCCACCCTACTCCCCTAGAATACCCTCTGCAGGTGCATTTACAACTCAAGACAAAACTGGTAAACATATCCAATGTGTTTATTGCAAAGAATTCCATTTTTCGGCATCATGTGACCGAGTGACAAACCCAAATGCTCGCAAGGATATATTGAGGAGAGACAATCGGTGTTTTACATGCTTGGGGATTGGTCATCGCAGTACAAGATGCAAGTCGAAAAAGAATTGTAGACGATGTCACGGCAGGCATCACCAATCAATTTGACAGAATTTGTGATGCATCCAAGGGCTCACACTATACATCACCTTTCATGAATGGAAATAAACCCATCCCACCCAGTAAAGACGATGAGTTACCTGGAGAACCAAATAATACTAGCACTGCAACCGTCATTGACAATTTGACTTCAACTGATAATCCGGCTACAACTGGCTATATGACAACAGAAGATTCAACGACAACGACGACCACAAAAACACGGAATAAAGTTCTTCTGCAAACAGCAGTTACGTATGCGCAAGGGGAGAATGGCTCCAATCCAATACCAGTTCGATTACTTTTGGATAGCGGTAGCCAACGTTCCTACATTACCAATTCATTAAAGAAGCGACTCGGTCTGGTTCCAATACGAACAGAAACTCTTAATTTAAATACCTTTGGTGATGATCATTTTAAGAAACGACGTTGCAATATAGTCCAGTTATTGTTGAAGGGAAATAGTGACAATCGAAAGATAACGGCACTTTGTTTTCCAAATCTTTGCTCACCATTGACAACCACGATTGATCTAAGCCTATATCCAC